AAAAAATAGAATATGACTACAGACACTGTGTTACATCTTAGAATAAAAATGTAAACTATACAGCAAAAATTTTAATGTTTAAATATATCTAATATTTTAAGAGAAATGTAAATTATCAAAATTGATTGAAGAACAACTAAATTAGAGAAATTTAGTTGAATTTTAAAAATATGATGGCTTCACAGAAGAAATCTACCAAACATTCAAGGAAATATAATAACCCATCTCATACAAACCATCACAGGATATAGACAACAAAGATTTCCAAATGCATTTTATGAAGGCATTGCAATTCAAAACCAAATATGGACAAGGATACTGCAAGAAATGTAAATTATAAGTCAATGACACTTATGAAAAAAGATGCTGAATTTTTTTTAAAAAATCACAAATTGCATGAAGCAATTTTTTTTTTTTTTTTTTTTTTTTTTTTTTTTTTGCACCAGGGATTGAACTCGGGTCCTTGCACTTGCAAGGCAGGCCACCGAACCACTGAGCTAAATCCCTGGCCCAATATATATTTTTTTTAAATTACCATATGACAAAACAGGATTTACTTCAGAATTCAACGTGATGCCCACATTAGAAAAATCTATCAATGTGACCTGTTATATTAACGTATGAAAGATAAAATCTATAACCATCTCTGTTGTAGGAAAAGTAATAAAATTTCAATATTTAAGATTTTAAATATTCCTACTTTAAACACAACTGGGCTAGAAGGGCACTGCCCTAACTTGACAAAGGGGTTTGACCAAAAACTCACCGCAAATATGATAAACAATGATGACACATTAGAAACATTCTCTGTGCAATAGAAATATGAAAACAAAGTTCACTGTAACCTTTCTGCAGGAGGTCCAAGCCCACCCCAAGAAGAAAGAAAGGGAAAAGGTATCAGGAATTTTAGTTACAGATAACATGATTATCTAAGTGAAGAGACAAAAGAATCTGCAAATAAACTAATAAGAATGTTCAGCATGTTTGCCTTTAAAATAAAATTAGTCCAAAATCCATAGCATTTCCAAGCAGTAGTAATAACCAATTTTTAAAAACCTCACTTATACTAGCAACAAAAGACATAACATACCTGGAGGGATATCTAGCAAATAAACACAATCATCTTATAAACAAATTATAAAATGTTATTGAAAGATATTTAAAAATCACAATAACATTCAGGCATTGGATTACTAAATTTTATAAAGACGTCACAGTTCACCAAATTTAACCTATACACTTAACTCAACAAAATACCAAGAAAAATTTTTCATTAAGGAACCTGACAAACTGATGCTAAATTATAGAGAAGAGTAAAAGTCCAAATATAGTTGGTACAATTTTAAAAATGAACAAAGAGGGGGCCATGCCTTCCAATATATCAAGACATATTATGAAGCCATAATAATTAATTAAGAGTGTGCTATTGGCTAAGAATTGGTTTGATCCATGAGAAAGGACAAGCTAGGAACATATTTATGAATATATGGAAATTTAATTTACAATCATGGTAGCATTACACATTAATAGGAATATGAAGATTGTTCTGTACATCAGGTCATGACAGGCTTTCTATATTGGGGCTGAGGAGAAGAGTAAAATTTAATCCCTGCTTTATACCATTCAAAAAGATGAGCCACAGATAGATGGATTTTCCATGTGAAAAACAAAATTTTAAAAATATAAAAGTAAAAAGACATATAGAATATCTTCACACATCAGGTGTAAAGTTCCCCTAATAATACACAAGCTATTAAAAAAGAGGAGAGTGAATATCACTGCATTTTAAATTTTCTATAGCACAAAAGTCATCAAAAGTTAAGACAAGCTATAGATTGATAGAATCTGTTGAATGTTTACACACATGAACTCCTATAAATCAAAAAGGATAAATGATAAAAATTAAACAGCCTACTGAAAAGATGAATGAACATTGAAAAAACAAATCACAAACTCAGAAACACTTCAACAGCCAATAAATATATGAAGCACTCAACCACTCTGGCAGTGAGGGAAATTCAAATAAAACAACAAGACACTGAATTCTTTAAAAATTCAAACTGGCAGAAACAAGAAAAGTCTGAATTGAGAAAGTATTAATATCTTGCTAGGAAAATAAGAACTCTCCTACATTGCTAAGAGGCGCACAAATTGGAAAACCATTTGGTAGTTGGTAGTAAAACTGAAAATGTGTGTGCAGCCTAGCAATTCACCATCTAGGTAGATACACAGAGAAATTCTCACATAGGTGCAAGAAAAACATGTACAAGCAATAGCAAAATATTGGCAGCAGGTTAAATATTCATCAATAGGGGTATGAATAAACAAGTCATATTCATATGCATGGACCAACAATATGGAGATTAAAATGAATGAACTAGATCTATATTTATCAACATGAAGAGAAAAACAAATATACCATGAAGGAAAAAAGGAAAACAAATCACAGAATGGTATCTACAATCTATCGTCACATGTATATATTTTAAAATCATTCAAAGCAATATGCCACATGAGTTCATATGCAAAGTGTAAAGCCTAGACTGAAAAGTTACACACCAAATTTATGACAGTGTTTGCCTTTGAGGAAAAGGGTGGCGAATAGCATCGTAAAGATTGTAAAGGGGGCTTCAATTTTTATCAGAAACGTTGAACAGTTCAATTTTGAAAAGCAGATCTGACACAGATATGACAAATGGTAACATTAATTATATGAACCTGACACATGGGTACTATATTCTGCATTTTAAATATCATTACTTTTTCTACATATAAAATTAGAAAAACACCTAGTAAAGAATTCTGTCTTACAGATTTTAATGTGTAGATTGTCAATCATATGAAAATTTGAGGCAAGCAACTTCAGCAAAAATTACCAGCTTTAAAATGTAATCTCCTTAACAATAAAAAAAGCTGACAATATTAGTTTAAAACTACTAAAATGAATAAAGTGGATTCTATAGGCACCCACATGGATAGTTCTCAAAATCTCACTGAGGGAGAAAAACAAAATGCAAAATGATATGTACACTACTGCATTCTTTATGAAAATTTTAAAATAGACAATCATGGATAGATAAATATTTATACATATAGATCATTGACTAAGGAAAGTATAACAAATGTTGCTAGGATATACAATTTATAATGCTGATTACCTTGGGAAGTTAAAGAGAAAGAAAGGTGAATGAGAGTGGGGAGGAAAGTAAAGTGACATTCAACTCTGTAACATTTAATATAAAAATCCTGAAGCAAAAACGGCCAAACCACATTTGATTATTCTAGTCAGTAAACACATGAACGTATGTTAATCTTGCTGCATCTGTATGTTTTAATTTTCAGAAGAAAACGTACTTAAGTTACAAATAAAATGCATATGATTCATTATAAAAGTAAAGCCTGTGCACATCCAAAACTGTGATGTCTATTTTGTAGAATTGTCCTGCTTGTTTTCTACGTGTTGCAAATGTTTTTTAAAAAGAGCAAAATGAAAGCAACGAAGACACGTAAAAGAAATTACTCACATACTTGATTATAAAAGAGAAAAACCTCCACAGTTATAAACACCATATGAGCATTCTATAGCATTGGCTGCATTTTCTTATTTCTAATTTTTGTCAAAAGAAAAATAGAAGATACTGCCTAATTGGAAACGTGACTTTCTATTATTAAAATTGTGGGAGTCCATTTTAATGTGTTTATCTCGCTGCTAGTCTATAATTTATATTTCAGCGTGGAAATTTGTTTGTATGCCTGTGACAGGTTAATGCAGTTTAAACATGCATTTTTCTTTCGTTGGTTGAATAGTTATATCGTTACTCAAAGGATTTTAAGTTTCAATTTCAATCACGAGAAGCTTCTTTGCTTTTCCAAGGTTTAAAATGTTTCAGGATCAAAATGCTATTAATTAATGGTAAGTAGTGGATCTATTTAGGGAATTGCTACAGACCCTGGATTAACAGTTGAACTGCTAAATGAGAAAACTTTTTTTTTTCTGATGCAGACTTGGGGAAATTTTCAATTTGGTCTGCAAGCGGAGAACGGAGGTGAAATATAATTCCAGACCACTTAGCTAACGATCGCAATTATGAATCGAAAGACTAGTCAGGTATTAGCATTTTTTTTCCTTAAAAAAAAAAGTTTCTCGGACTCCGCCGGACACCCAGCTGGCTTGGGACCAGCGGGCGCGCGGGGGGGGCGAAGCCGGCAGGCTGCCCAGAAGTTACGATCGGGGAGTTTTCGCTTTAAGAAAATTACCTGGCTCGCCAGCAGAAGAAAGAGCGCGGAGACAAGATAATTTCTTAGGCTGTTAACAATGACTTAGCCGGGCGGCCGCGCGATCCGCGAGGGC